GCCCAAATCTATCTTTCAGCAATTGTATTCACGCGTCATAATTTTGATCCGTAAGTGAAAATCCCGATACTGCACTTAATGCAACTCCTCCTAGATAGGATTTTAGACATGTAAACTTTTCTATTTTCGATAATGAAGTATTATTGTGTATTGCAACTTCAAAAGAATTCCAAAAATCTAAAAAATAACTACAATCACGGTGAAAAGTTTGAATATTTAGTTTCGGGAGTTTGACAATATTTTTAGTTTCGTTTTGAANCGTTATGTGGTACAAACTGAACAGAGTTATTTACATTTGCCGCGACATTTGTCTCGCTTATCTGAATTACACCTTGTGGTTTAACAATTAAATTTTCTAAATTCCTTTCTATTTTCGATTTCGCTTCAATACCCTTATCTTTATATTCTTCACTTAAATCTATTTCAGCTGCCATATTCTCTATTTCAATTTTTAACTGCACTTCATCATCAGCTTTAATTAAATCATTTAATTTTTCTGTGAGCTGAGATTTTAAGCTCAAAAGCTCATTCACTCTCATTTCTTTCGTGTATTCATTCGAAATTTCAATTCCTATCGTATTTTCAATCTTAGTTAAATGCTTACTAAATGAAATTCTTAACCTTTTTCGTTTTTCCTTAATTCGTTCCAAATCCATTTTATATATTAATAATTCAATAAATTGGAACAAAGAAAAATGGACCTACCTCAAATCTCAGCGTTTCACTATCTGAAGATATTTTCATCGACAATATTTATTCCGTGACATTCAATGAATGTTCGTAATTCATAGATTCCTCGTAATAGTTTTATGGATTCGTAATTTATAAATCACCACAATTTCATAATTCCATACTATATCACGTCCGGTGGTCACCATGTAATATTTATTTTATTCTATCAAGCCTGTAGGTTGAGTTATTCAATAGTAATAGCCTGTCCGTTGAAATTGTAATGATTTTCCAAATTTCTCTTTTTTATATATTTATTAAACAGAACAATAGGAACACTAAACATAAACACAAATAAACATAAAAATTTTCTGATTGTTCATTATACATTCAAATCGGATTTTTCCGATCCTACGAGATGTTTATCCCGCCAGTTCAAGATTCATTCTGTTTGAATTCTCCCTCGGTTAGGGAAGACGCCTAGTAGAAATCCCTTTTGTGGGGATTTAACCTTATTCGTGGCTTGAGTTGCCACAGGAACAAATAAAACTAGAGAGAGCAAAAGCAGAATTGGAATTGTTGCGTAAGCAGCCAGTTCAAAAAACTAATAATAATTATTCTGAAAACAAAGTTGAAAATTGCGAGTCTCTGGATTCGATAATAAAAAGTATAAAAACTTTAACTATTCGAGTTCCGAGTCAGCCAGAAGGGTGGGGTTTATTTTTTGCTTCTTTGGAAAGGTCCTTTGTAACAAAAAATGTACCCGATAAATTTAAGGCAGAAATTCTTTTGAATTTACTAGGCGAAAGAGCGTCAAACGTAATTTCTTACATAAGTGATGATGAACTCAGTGACTATGATAAAATAAAAACAATTGTAATGAGGGAGTTTGAACCAACCCCCCAGTATTGTTTAAAGAAATTTAGGAAAACTACTAGGCACACAAATGAAACCAATTTGCAATTTGCATCACGTTTAACTACTAGCTTTAATTATTATTTAAAATTGAGAGAAGTGTCTGATTTTGAAAAGCTATAACAATTAATTGTATCGGACAAATTATATCAAACTTTAGATAAGGAAACCGCTTATCATATTAGCATTAGACAGTCTAGCGGCTGGTTTGATCCCGTAAGTTTAGGCAAAGAAGCTGATTCATTTTTTGTCTCACGCGGAAAATCTTTAACGGAGATCAACTTCTACGGTCATAAATCGTCTAATATGAGAAATATGTCTAGAGCAGTGATTCTCAACCACTGTGCCGCGGCACTTTTGTGTGACGCCAAATTCTTAAAATGTGCCGCCAAATATTAGAAATGATACAATAAAAATTATAATGCTTTTTATGTTACGAGTAAAGTTTAAATTAAAAAGAAAAGTGGATGTATATATATACTTTTTATAATTTTTCCAAGCTTCAATAGCGTGAACATCTTTGTCAGCGATTGTCTTGTCTCTGACATTCTTAAAATAAGTTAAAATAAGAAGAAAGTGTTTAAATTGTCTTTGACACATAATTTTAAGAAGTGTTAAAATAAGTCGGAAATTTAATGACTTTTAAAATTATTAATTAACAAAGGAAAGCAAGCTAAATATTAACTTTCAAACGGAAATAAAAAGCTAATCATTAAAGTAAACTATGCAATTAATAGTTATAAAACAAATTAACAAAGAATAACTAACAAAATAATAATCTAACAATTAATAATTAGCAAAAAAACTAGTTAACACGAAATCACAAAAAATAACAATGAAAAAAACAAAAGTTGATAACTATAGAAAACAAGCTAACAATTAAAATCTAGCAAAAAAGTAAGTAACTGTTACTAACTAATAAAAAATTAGTCGGAAGAAATAATTAATTCCTTAATAAGCGTGCTGTTGTAGTACATATTATTTTATTTAACATTCAAAATTATTATCACAAACTATTTAACACAGTGTATTATAGGTAAGTAAACAACTTAATACTAATTTTTTTCATTGTGTGCCGTCAAATTTCGAAATCGTTAAAAGTGTGCCGTCACAAAAAAAAGGTTGAGAATCACTGGTCTAGAGCATTTTTGGCTGATAGCAAGAGTTTAAAGTATATTATGTGTTCATCGGAAAGTCATCCTTTATATAAATGTAATTATTATTGGGGATTACCGGTTTCTGAAAGAGAAGAAGTAATTAAGAAAAATAACCATTGTTTTAATTGCCTGGGAAAACATTGAATGAGTAAGTGTAATTCAAAATTTTCTTGTTCGATATGCAGGCAAGAAGGAAAAAATAAAAGACATCATTTCTCTTTACATTATCCTAGAAACGAAAGTATTGAGAATGGGAAAAGCGAAAATGCTAATGAAGCGGCTGTAGGTAGAGAATTTCTTTCCCCCTCTCCTAGAGTAAACAAATCTTCACAGTCGCCGATCGCACCCATATTTCAGGCGTCTGGCTCTACTCAAAGTCAAAACAATAGGATTCTTTCATCAAGAGTAATAAATCAGAGAAAAACTGTTTTGCTGAGTACGATTAATTGCTTATTGAAAGATAATCGAGGAAATAAATATAGAGTCCGTGGAATATTAGATCAGGGTGCAATGAATAATTTTATGATTTTAGATTGTGCAAATAGCTTAAACTTAAAGAAAGAAAAAACAAACATAACGGTTTGCGGTTTAGGTGATACATTCACAACAATTAAATCCTTTGTTAATGCTACAATTTCTAATTTTGAGGGAAGCTTTGAAAGAGATTTAGATTTTTTTATTGTACCTAAAATTGCAGATTGTATTCCGTCAAAAATGATAAAGATAAATCTACCTGAATTAGAGTTTATTAAACTAGCCGATGAAAACTTTAATGTTCCAAGTCGTATCGATGTACTTTTAAGTGCTGAGATATTTTGCTAGTTATTGCTGCCAGGTCAAATTTATCTGCTTAAAGGTACTTTGATTTTTCAAAATACAGTTTTTTGGATACGTGGCTTGTGGTAACGTTCCCATGGAATCAGAGGAAAGGATACACTGTGGATTTATTCAGGATAATACTGAGCTAAACAAAAATATCGAGAAATTTTGGGATACAGAAGAGGTGCAGTGTGAGGTACCCAAAAATAAAGAAGCAATAATTTGCAAAAAGCACTTTGAGGAAAACGTTAAAAGAGATAAAACGGGGAGGTATATTGTAAAAATGCCATTAAAAGATGATCCGAGGTGTTTGGGAAAATCTAAAGATATCGCGCTTAAAAAATTAAATTCTCTGTGGAATCAGTTTTTAAAAGATCCTGAATATTTAGCTTTGTATAGAGATTTTTTAGGCGAGTATGAAACATTAGATCATATGACCGAAGTTTCGGAATGTGAGGAAGAAGCAGGAACATATTATATTCCACACTTAGGAATTTATCTCCCGGATAAAATGACAACAAAGCTTCGTGTCATGTTTAATGCATCCTCACCAACAACTTTAGGTACTCTATACAATATAACGGTGGAGTTATTCAGGAAGATCTATTTAAAATAATTAAAAAATTTCGCAAACATATTTATGCATTTGTAGCTGACATCACACAAATGTATAGAATGATTTTAATTAATCAGAGTCAAACTAAACTTTTGAGAATTCTTTGGAGGGAGGGAGTAAATGACCCAGTTAAGACTTACGAACTCAAAACTGTCACCCATGGCGCAACCAGTGCACCTTACCAAGCCACAAGAGTTTTATTACAGTTAGCAAGAGATGAGTCTAACCACTATCCTCTAGTTTGTTCAATGTTAGAAAAAAACTTTTATGTTCACGGTGTTTTGAGTGGTGCTGACTCCTTGAGTAAAGCAAAAAAATTACAATCAGAGTTATCAAAGGCTTTAAATAGTGGAGGTATGCTCCTGCTCAAGTGGTACTGAAACAACCCGGAATTGACAGGGTCTGACAATAACTATAATTTCCAAGATGAGACAAAGACACTCGGTGTAATTTGGAAACCTGCCGATGATCATTTTGCGTTCCAAACTTCCATTGAAAGTACTGTACCACCAACAAAGAGATCAGTGCTGTCCACAATAGCACGTATTTTGACCCTCTTGGTATATTGGGTCCGGTGATCACAAAAGCGAAAATCTTTTTACAACAATTGTAGTGTCTTAAGCTTCACTGGAACGATCCGCTTCCTGAAATGGAGGCTCAACAGTGGGAAAGCTTCAGCACTGCTTTGCCATCAATTAACAACATCAGTATTAAGAGATGCATTTTAATAGAAAATCCAGTGCATATTGACCTTCACGGATTTACGGACGCTTCCGAATCTGCCTACGGATTCGTCATTTATTGTAAATCATATTCAGACGACGGAACCTTTGAAATGAACTTGATTTGTGGTAAATCAAGGATATCACCTCTTAAGCGTGTTACCGTTCCAAGATGGGAGTTATGTGCTGCATTCCTTTTGGTAAGACTGATAACAAAAGTGAAAAGTGCTTTACAATTTGAATCAACTGACATTTTCCTGTGGAGCGACTCGATGATTGTCCTCTCCTGGATACGGAAAGAGCCCTTTCATCTAAAAACATACATTGCGAACCGGGTAGCATCAATTCAAGACTTGACACAAGTTCAACAATGGCGTCACGTATCTTCCGAGAACAATCTGGCAGATATCATCTCCAGAGGGATGAATCCTGAGAAGTTGATTGGAAATAAACTGTAGTTCAAGGGACCTGCGTTTCTGGATGAGCGAGAGTATCCCAATCGGGAAATTCCGTCTTCGATCCTAAATGATGAGTTCACCTGCGAGATTAGGCATTTAGAACAAATTAACTTACCTGTGCTTACTGTGACTTCTAACCCTTTTATTCTTGAATCACTTGATATTAGCAATAGTTATTCTAAAGTATTTCATGTTATTAGTTATCTTTTCAGATTTATCCACAACGTAAAGAATTCTGGAAATAGGATGTTGGGGCCTCTTACTACGAAAGAAAGAAGTAAGAGTGAAACTTTTCTGATAAAAAACGTTCAAAGTATAGAGTTTGAAGAAGATCTCAAGTGCTTAAGGGCTCAACAAAACGTGCCACACAAAAGTAAGATAAAAAATTTAAATCCGTTTTCAGATGAAGAAGGAGTGTTAAGAGTAAATGGCAGAATAAATCATGCTAATGTAGAATTTAATAGTAAATTTCAAATTATCCTGCCTAAAGGTCATAAATTAACTAGGCTAATTTTAGAGTTCTATCACAAGCGATATTTTCATTTAGGACCTACTGCTTTACTACATTATGTTAGACAAAAATTTTGGCCAGTTCAGGGTAAAGCAACGTGCAGGAAAATTGTGCACGATTGCATTGATTGCTTTAAAGTAAAACCTTTAGGAGTCGAACAGTTAATGGGAAATCTCCCGAAAGAAAGAGTAACTCCCGATTTTCCTTTCAATTGCTCGGACACAGATTTCTGTGGCCCATTTTTTATAAAGTATAAACATCAACGGAAAGGAATTCACCATAAAATTTATGTTTGCATTTTTGTGTGTTTAGTCACAAAGGCAATACACCTAGGATTAGTAACGGATCTAACCTCAAATGCCTTTATTGCGAGTTTAAAGAGATTTGTGGCTCGTAGGGGTTTATGTTCTAAGTTGTTTTCGGACAATGCCACAAATTTTACAGCAGCCAACAAAGAATTAACAAAATTAGATAATTTGGTATTAAAACCAGACGATTGCTTGGCTAACTATTTAACAACTGAGGGAATCGAATGGCACTTTCTCCCACCGAGAGCACCCAGCTTCGGTGGTCTCTGGGAAAGTGGCGTTAAAGCCTTTAAATTTCATTTTAGAAGAGTTGTGGGCAATTCCAGATTGAGTTACGAAGAATTCCTCACTGTCACTACCCAAATATAAGGAATTCTAAATTCGCGACCGCTAGTACCTCTGTCACCTGATTCTGATGTTTATGATGCATTAACTCCTGCTCATTTGTTAATCGGTAGACCTTTAAATGCTATTGTAGAACCAAATTTAATTCAAAATAAGGAACTGTCTAAATGGAAGAAATTAACTAAAATAGTTCAAGTCTTTTGGAAGAAATGGCATATACAATACCTTAACAATTTACAACAGAGGTCCAAGTGGATGGTAAAAAAGGATAATGTAAAAATTAATGAGCTAGTGCTCCTTAAGGATGAAAATCTACCCCCGCAAAAATGGGCATTAGGTAGAATAATTGAGCTTTATTTTGGCAGTGATAAACGTATCAGAGTCGTTAAAGTCAAAACTCAATCAGGAATTTTCAAACACCCCATTTCAAAAATTTGTATTTTACCTATTAATGTGTAATTTTTGTGTGTGTGATTCAATGTTATTGTTATATTGTGTTTTTGTTTTATTTTCATTAATTGCATTTAATGAAATAAGTGAGAGTTAATTGAATGTAAACATGTCAATGTGGGGCGGGATGTTCGTGCCCACTGCGACACAAGCGCCATCTCTTAGAGTTTTAAATATTTGAATCAGTGTTAAAAGAGTTCCGCAATCAAGCGAATGTGTCTATACAACAGTGAAAATGTGTGTGTATAAAGGTTTTAAATAAAATAATTAATGACTACAGTCTATTGTAAGAGTTAATGAAATTCAAGTAGAATTGCACCTACTAACGGATTCAACTATGCATCTCTTTGTAGAAAAGGGGATATGAGGATGGGTTTCAATGATCTCCAATCGCTATGCGCAGGCTAACAACAAGTATATGAGTGCTGGCTATGGCGCGAACATTCCTTCCTCTTATATTGTTTATCTAGATTATAACAACTTGTACAGGGGAGCAATGTTGTCCCACTTACCAGCAAAAGATTTTCATTGGTCTGAAAATTTAGATATCAGTGAAAATGACATTTTAAGCATGACTGATGATGACCAAGAGGAGGGGATGATATTAGAAGTAGACTTAGAATATCCTGCAGGCATGATTTACACAATGATTTACCTGTCGCGCCCCAGCAACTAAAAGTTACAAATGATATGCTATCTCCATACTCACGAAGAGTGGCAGCAGAATTAAATGTAACTAAATCCTCTAACGTCTCAAAATTAATTCCTAATTTAAAAGATAAGAACCATTACATTTTACATTACAGAAATTTAAAGTTATATTTATAATTAGGATTGCGATTAAAGAAAATACATAAAATTTTATGTTTTAAACAAGAAGCTTGGCTTCAATCATTTATTAACTTTAACACCGATATGAGGAAAAGAGCGAAAAACTCTTTCGACAAAGATTTTTATAAATAAATGAACAATAGTGTTTTCGGCAAAACTATAGAGAATCTTCGAAATCGTGAAAATATAGATATTGTAATTGATAAGAAAAAAGCAATAAAAATGATTGCCTCCCCCTCTTTTCGGTGTTTCAACATCATAGATGATAATTTTGTTTTTATTTCGCGACATGTCACATCTCTTACACTAAATCGACCTTTATACTCGGGATTTTCAGTCTTAGATATCAGTAAGATATTTATCTATAAATTCCACTACCTACATATAAAACATAAATATGGTTCAAATGCAAAATTGTTTTTTACGGATTCGCTCTGCTATGCAATTCAAACTGAAGATATTTACCCCGACATGCTCGAAAATATAGATTTATATGATATGTCAGACTATCCCAAAATACAATTTTTTGCACAGCGATAGAAACAAGAAAATCCTCGGTAAAATGAAAGACGAATTACACGATGTTGTAGTGCGAGAGTTTGCTGGACTCCGTTTCAAAATGTATTCTCTGTCAAGCGAGGAGGGTGAGAAAAAAACAGCTAAAGGTGTAGTCAAAAATGTTAGAGGAAAAAAAAAATTAAAACACAGTTATTATAAGAAATGTTTTTTCGAGAACTCTCGAGTAAGAGAAAACATCAGCTTTATTCTGTAACTACAAATAAACTAGCTCTTTGTCCTCTCGACGACAAAAGGTACATTTTGGAAAATGGATGTGACACATTGGCTCATGGTCATTTCAAAATTAACACTATGTAATTTAAGTGTTCAGTTAATTAATTCATTAACTGTATCTCTTAATTTTATTTTGTAATTACAACAATTACATTTTATTCATTTATTTATTATTATTATTTTGCGAATTGAAGTAATGAGCGCGGAGACGCAATTAAATATATGGTATTGAATGTAAGTCAACAATATGCAACTTGCTAGCTTTTACATTCTTTTATTTCCACAGACATACACAGACGAACGATAAATAAAAACATTAATAATAAGAAAAAGTCGTTTGGTTGCCTAGCAACCAGCTGGAGTTGCAGTTATTATATCGGCAGACGATTTAAAACAATTATTAAAACTAACTGTTTATTGATGACGGAACATCCTCCCCACCCTGGTCAACCTCAAGAAGGATGATCAGCTGTATAGGTCAAGTTTTAGTCTTTCCATCCACTCTTAACACGCATGTTCGAATTTCCCCATCACGTCCCTTAATTAGATTGGTAATTCGGGCTATCTTCCACACGTGTCTGGGTCTGACATCTTCTTGTAGTAGCACAAGATGTCCTGCACGGATGTTGAAGGATTTATGAATATTGCGAACTTGGGCATAAGAGCGAAGTTGCAGCAGATATTCTTTGGACCATCTTTTCCAAAATATATCCAACACGTCTTGTTGTTGTTTGAAGAGTTTCGTAAGTCTTGGATTGTGGATTTGTGGGTATAGATGTTAATTTTCTACCCGTTAGGAAATGTGCCGGTGTCAAGGCTTCCGTATTGTCCTCATCTCCCTCTTCATATACAATGGGTCTGCTGTTAAGGGCGGCTTCTATCCCGACTAGTACAGTTGATACATTTTCTTTATCCAATAGTGCCCGACCAAGGGATTTACGAAGACAATTTTTCACTAATCCGATTAGGCGCTCCCACCAACCTAACCAAGCCAAGCCCACCAACCTAACCAACTAAACCAAGCCGCTCTGGGTACGATGAACTTCCAAATTATGCCAGTATGAGCGTAAAACTGTTGCATTTTAGTAGATGTAAGAGTGTTCCATAGAAGTATTAGCTCCTTATTTGTAGCGTGGAACGTAGCAGCATTGTCACTATAGATGGTATGTGGTAGTCCTCTACGACCCACAAATCGCTGCAATGCTAACAGAAACTTGTCTGTCGAAAGATTTGACACAAGTTCGAGATGTATGGCTCTGGTCGTTGCACAGGTAAACAGTACAATGTAAGTTGTGTCTAAAGGATTCAAAGTGCGAACGTGTACGGGGCCAGCAAAATCTATTCCTGGGGTGAAAGATGGTGTAACTGGACTTATTCTATCAGTTGGTAGAGGAGCTTCAATTTGAGTGCATCGAATTGCTCGTGACATCTTGCATGGTAAGCATTTGTAAATCACTTGTTTGATGGCTTGGCGGCCTCGTAGAATCCAAAAATTTGAACGTAGTTCTGAAAGCACTATTCTTACACCTAGGTGATGCATTTTGATATGTGTTTGACGTATCAGCAGACTTGTGAAATGATGAGAGCCGTCCAGCAGAATTGGATGCTTTTGGGACTCTGATAAACTCGAAAACTGTAATCTGCCACCAATACGTATTAATTTATTTTCAAATAATGGTGTTGGATTTTGTTGAGAGCAAATC